GTACATTCGTAGTTTTTTTTTTTCTCGAACTTTTACACGCGGTGCTGCGTTCCTTACGAAAGACAACGCCGTTTATTTCAATGTTCTGGCATGCTTAGGTTTAAAGAAATAAATCCCCGAAGGGGCGAGGAAGGACGACGGGTTTTTGATGATTATCGTTTCTGCCAGATTTGAAGCGCGCTGTAGCCGAAGCTATTTGTGGTAGAAATGTTACATTTTTTTTAAGGATGATCTATGTATAGCCTAGGTAAGTGCTGTCTTAAGATGTGATTATTGTTATTCAACGTGAGTTTCGAAGAAATGTCCAAACATGTATCTACATGCAATTATGCCCTAAACTTGATATTTATTTTCATCGAAGTTGTTTGAGGTATCGCATTTAAATTAACACCACAGACAGTACACATCATTGCCATCTGCAGAATGCAAAATAATGTATTTATTGTTTTTTCACGTTAAGGAATAAATTACCTCATGGGAGAAGATTTCTAATAGTGTTCAAGTTCAACACGTCATTAAAAGAAAACTTTGTTTTTTTTTCGCTTCACGATCCTGGTACGTGTTTCTTTTAGCCTGTACACATTTTGGTAAAAGAAACTTGTTTCGAAGTTCTGAACCTCTGAATACGCAAGAATACAACACTTCCGGCAAACTCTTGATAGTTTTTTTTTTTTTTTCAGCTTTTTATCCCCGCATTTATCTTTTTTTTTTTTTTTTTTACTATTGGCACAGGTATTTTTTAGGTCGAAAAGACATAGCTTTGAACTTCCGAACCACTAAGCATGTGACGAGTAGTGCCTTCTGACAACGAGTTTCTAACAATGACCAGCTACGCAATCTTTTATGCAGTGAAGAGCGACAGTACCTATACATATGCATAAATAATTTCAGATTAAAATAAGTTCGACCACGCCCTCTTTCCCCGTATTGTTTTCTTTAACAGTCCAAAATATCTGGAAGGGGGGAAGGAAACTGAAGCCCCCCCCCCCCCCCCCCCCCCGCTACACCCTCTTACCCCCCGTTTTTCCTCTTCCGACGCCACTTGTATGGTAGAACGCTTCTCGACCTCGAGTTGTGTCGGCTTTTTACGAGGCGATTCCTCCGTCCCAGAAAATAAACCTCCAGGACAATTACAAACTTAACTTACTATATGCCAGCGTCACTCGGGCGGCGTTCGATCGGATTACTATCAGCGTGCAAGGGGTGGCGAGGTAGTTTGCCAGGTCGCTTCAAGGTTTTTCTGAGCCTCAACCTCCTGCTCGTCCCTGGCCGTTTCGAACTGGATGAGTCTCGTAAAACAGTGTGTTCGTGTGATCACTACTGCGTGATGCAGGTTAAGGACCCCCACCTCGGGCTGGCGGTCACAATTACTGATCCATGGACACAAGTCACTCTGCACTGGCAAATATTCCAGCACATCCGGGACACTCTTCGTCTCATTTAATTGCCTCACCAACTTCGCAGAATCTAGATATCACACCCTAACTTTTCTAAACTTGATTTTGTGAAAACCAGTGAGTCGTGAAAACGTTATTTGAAACAAACTGTGGAGGAACTTGAAAACCGGACTTCGAACTTTGAAAACTTGGACTAAAAAGGAATTCAAAATCTTCAAAGATTTTTTTTTTTTTAATTTAGCGTTAAAATAGAATCGAAACCTTCGAACTTTTCGAACTTTATGCGGAAAAAAATTCGAAATCTTCGATTTGTTCGAACTTCATGTCTATAATAATTCGAAGCGTTCGAAGTTGTCGAATTTTGTTTCCAAAGAATTTCGATATCTTCGAATTTATCGAACCTGAAGTAAAAAAATATTCGAAATATTCGAATCCGAAATTTTAGAAACCGTGAAAGCTTCGAACTTTTCGAGTTCGAAACTGCACTGTGATCGAAAGTTGCGAATTTTTCGAATTCGAACTTCCGTCGGTACGAAAATATCGAAATTTTCCGAAATCGAACCTCAGTTTGCTTCGCAAATATCGAAACCTTTCGAAATCGAACTTGGGGCGATTCGCGACATCCCTACTTCTAAGGCGCCGATTAGCTTATTTTAGGTGCAACACCATTCAAACCTATGAGATAACGCTTCAAGCCTCATCGGTATTTATGTAGCAGTGCAGATGCCTCGCATTGGACTGGGGTATAGGTACGAAAACATATTGTACACTCAAATCGCACTACTCTAATATTAACTCTGGTACTCAAGACCTCCATCAAATAATTACCACTTGCTGAACATGAACTAGGTCCCTGTACGTAAAACGCGATCTGGCAGCCAAGGTGGCTTGGCAAAATTTGTTTTTGACTTTTTATTGCATCATTGCAAACTCCCGCTCCAATATTTCTCGACGTTGCCCCCGAGGCACAGCTTCACATGAGGAGGCAGAAAACAACAAATAAGGACGTCGCATTTTAACCCGGCATGGTGAACGGCAGGTACACACGATCGCCAGAGCGTGATAGGCACATTGCTTTTATGAGAGACTTTGTTAATCTGAACTCTGCAGCAGTTTATCCCAAAAGACCACATCCTATACCAATATAAACAACTAATTACCAGTAACGTATTCGGGGCCTGTTGGTTCCAGCTATATTCTAACCTTCAAATATAATATGAATACGAAACGAGCGAAGTAGCATACAATTACAGCGATGTCTGAACGGCTGATGGGGGCACCAAGATCTGCACCAAAACCAATATCGGACAACGTATTACGTAGGCAAAGCCATTCTGGAAACCGAACCTCGTGTTGTGAACTTGCCTTCAGCGACTCGCGAAGGGATAGCGCGCGTTTCGAAAACCCACGGGTAGGCGTCATTTGTACCGGCAATCAAGTACGTGTTTATTCCGTACAAGCAGCCTGTTGCCAAAGTTTGTGTGGGCCCGACTATACAGGGTGTTTATTTTTAGGCTCTAAAATTTGTTTTAGAAAAGCCATGAAAGCTATACAGTACGGTCTGTGCAGGTGACTCGTACGGCCATTCGGACATGATTATAGAGGCTAACCGTCACAATAACTCTATTAATCATTATATTTTAAATTAAACTTTCATTAGTGAAAATAAAAGGTAACATATAGTCCTAATTAGAAACTTGCCTCTCCGGAAAACCACTAATTCAGTAAATGCAAGAAACCTCTAGTCTAAAGCTCGTGGGAAGCGCAGTTGTCGCTAAACTTGTCACTCGTACATATGCGGAATTGCGATGTCAAAACGCAAATTATAATATAAAACACGTATGTTTTTTGCACCGCCAGTCTTGCGCCTGTTGCACAAGACACAAGTTTGGAGCGCGCCTCCCATATGCTCTGAATCTCTCTTGAATTTGCTGATTTAGTGAGGTTTGATGACGCCCAGCAAGTTTCTAATTGAAACCATATATTGATTTTCGCAAGCTATAAGTTGATTAAAAATATTAGTTAATATTTCACTTTTTGTCACGTATAGCGGCTATATTATGTCCTCCTGGCTCCTGCACAAACGACATTACAGTGGATTTCACGTTTTTTTTTATAAACAAATCGGTAAAACTAAAGCATATACAGCCAGTATTTATGTCTAGTCGCAACTGTGCGTGTCGTGCTCGAACACTCACATATAAAATACGAACGAGACCCCGCCCCCAGTACATCTTGCACAGATGGGCTGTCGACCTGAAGTGTGCGCTTGTTGAGAAATGGGATAAAATTAATTTCAGGTAATATTTTTTCTGGGATGCCCACGATAGAAGATAGTCAGAACATGCATTAGAATGTAGACTGCATATCCAGTTCTCAAATTTTCCTATTTTTATAAAAGTCGCGATAGCAAGGTGCGTCATTTTCACGAGGTGTCGCGTAAGTAAGGTTATTCAAAAGTCACGCGTCTGAGGACGTGTCCTTCATTAAACGGAGCATTCATTGCGCGTCTACCTTTTTGCTCCTAACACCTGCATTTACCCGTAAAAGCTTTAATAGTGGCGTCCGAGAAACAGCTTAAAACAAGATGATGATCTAAAAATATTTTTTTTTAACTGCTGACTCCAGTTGGAAGTTTTTTGTCTAAATAAAACATTCTTTTTCGCGTACAATGTTCACTAATATTTAGGCGAAATAAAACGAACTAAGAAGAATTTCTAAGGCGTCGGGACTCTTTTTAATAAGAAAGTTAAGGATCACAAACACTTGAAGCATGGCTCTGCAGGTAACTCGCAGTCCTGCGTCAACGTAATTTAGTTGTGGCGTACTGCTTGAGTAAACCCTAAAGGCCCGTTCACACTCTTGCAGCTGAGTACGACCGAGAGAGACCAGACCGGTTTTAAAGCCTCTTGCGATCTCTTAGGACCAGTTTCGCTGCAGCGCGTCCAGTACTAAGAAGTCGCAAAAGGCATAAAAGCCGGTCTCGTCTCTCTCGGTCGTAGTCGGTCGCAAGAGTGTGAACGGCACTTTAAGCGCGAAACACATGTACGACGAAACCGTCCTATCCGACGTGCGAACTGCCGGAATGACCTTCGGGGGCGAGGGTTTTCGTAGCGCCGGAAAGCGTCGAAAGCCCTCGCCTCCGACCGTCGTATTCCCTGATCGGACGTCGGATCGGACGGTTTCGTCGTACATGTGTTTCGCGCTTTACACTCCGTCATCTTTGCCTGTCCGTGGGATTTTCTCTTCGCACATAACTCTATCGGCAAATATATCGACAGTGCGACGGGGGTTTCACTTCAGACTGCAAAAAAACGTTTTCGAGATAAAGAAAGAAGCAACGACTCATTTGGCTAGACGTCTGACTCAACTATGCCGAGTAAAAAAAGCGCAGGACCACGGATCTACTTACAAACAATCAGCGTCGCTGAAACTCCCCTTATCGTGATCTCTCAGTCAGCGACGGCTCGAGTCACGGCACTCGAGATTTACATGAGCCAGCAACAACGGCGTTTCTATCAGTCGTCGCTTTGACCTTCTAAAAAAAAAAAAAAAAAGAAGTGTTTCACATCAAACAAAAGACGCGCACTTTGGCATACGCGTTTCAACGTCCTGACCCGTGGTTCGGCACGAGACCGAGCGAAGAAACACAACTCGGCGCGCAAGCAGATATATCCGAGTTCATCATAAGTTGTTTCGAAAAAACGACAGCCAACAGCTGATTCTCTGAGTCGTCCATCACTCTGTCATGGAGTCCCGCACCTTGATCCTGGTCGGCTCTGTGGTCCTCGCCTGGGCATTTGCGTGCGTCCACGGCGCCTGTCCTAGCGGTCGCGGGAGACCCAGCGATTGTCAGTATTCCAGCTGCACGGACCGGGAGTGCGAGGCGCAAGGTCTCGAGTGCTGCCCCAAGTCCTGCGGAGGGACAGCGTGTGTTCAGGGTGAGGGAGCGATTGTTTTCATTTCCTATTAACGCGTTTGCTGTAGGGCGGCTAAACGGCTAGTGACGTCTCATTGCGGATGCGGCAGTGACAACAACTTAAAGCGAGTCTTTATTCCCCACTTCAAACAAAACGCGAAGCATGTACCAGGATGCGGGATTGCACATGGGTATATTTATTTATTTATTATTTATTAAAAATACCCCTAATGGCCCTCTGTATGAGGGTATCACATAGGGGGGGGGGGGGGGGCAAGCAAATATATAGTACACAGATAAAACACAAGTTATACAAAGGACAATATGAGAACAAGGAATAAAAAAGAACATAAGTATTAGTATAACTACGCACGAGCTCTTGAAAGTTAGATATATCTAGTTCAGTTGCAATGTGAGCCGGTAGGTTGTTCCAGTCGATTATGGTCCGTGGTATGAATGATCGTGCGTAAGTAGATGAGTAGCATCTGATGCGCGGTACTTTGAATGAATGATCACGACGTGGAAAAATAATGGGTGGTGTTTTAAAAAAAAATCGTCGTGAAGCGATGCATGGTGATAGAGCTTGTAAGTAAAATTAAAAATAACGCCGCAGCTGGCGTAGACGACTTCAAGCCAAGGCCTGTCAAATATGTCTCCCAACAAATATCTTATATCTTGTCACATGTAATCAATCTTACTCTAGAAACTGGAATATTTCCTAACGAACTAAAAATTGCAAGAGTTACTCCAATCTATAAGGGGAACACCTTTTACAGAATTATAGACCAATCTCGGTTTTGCCGATTTTTTCAAAAATATTTGAAGGGGTTATAAATTCTAGATTAGACAATTTTTTTCCAGGCACAATGTATTAAACAAATGTCAATATGGCTTTCAAAAATCTAAATCTGCAGAGCAGGCACTTGTTGAAGTAAAGGATAAAATTATAAGCAATATTGAAAATAGATTATACACCTTAGGCTTATTCCTAGATTTTAGAAAGGCCTTCGATACGATCCAACATAACATATTACTAATTAAGCTTCAAAGGTACGGCATACGTGGGGTTGCTTTGACTTTAACAAAAGACTACCTCCAAAATCGCATGCAGTATGTTTATATTAACAACAATTATTCTAATTCACTCAAAATAAAGTACGGTGTTCCGCAAGGGTCTATTTTAGGCCCGCTCTTATTTCTTCTTTATGTGAATGATATCACAAATATTCTGGGATCCTCTGAGCTAGTCATGTACGCAGACGACATTAACGCATTTTTTGCTTCAACCTCTAAAGCGGCCTTAGAATCTATGACAAATAATTATCTAGACAATCTATCAGTGCGGCTTTAAAATAATAAATTACAACTAAACGTAAAAATATATATATATATATATATATATATATATATATATATATATATATATATATATATATATATATAATTTTCACTCCCGTTAATAGGTGCGACAACACTAAGGTGGCAATATATTTTGAAAAGGAAGTTATAGAGGAGGTTACAGAACAAGAATTTCTTGGTGTGTGGTTCAATCGGGAGTTAAGTTGGAACACGCACATAAATAAACTGAGCTCTGAGCTATCCCGAGCCGTCGGATGTATTTATAAAATAAGAAATCTCATACCTTTGTGGCTAAAAAAGAATATATATTACGCTTTATTTTACTCCAAACTGTGTTATTGCATTTGAGTCGGGGGCACGACATCGGCAACCAATTATAATAGGTTGATCATCTTACAAAAAAAAATTCTGCGACTATTTGAAAATTATAAAGGTAAGCCTCAAGATCTCCCAACTGAACCGCTGTTCAGCAAATATGGCCTACTTAAAGTGAATCAAATTTACTATTTTAAATTGTTACAGATAATACACACAAAAAAACTCTTCGCAATTCCGCCAGAAAACACAGCGTATCACACTCTTAGACATAGAATCAGACGACCTCCAAAAATACGTACCAATTACGGAAAACAAACGACATGCTTCCAAGTCGCCAAAATCTTGAATAAAAAAGGGAAGATCTAATAGATTTTAACTGCAATATACTCCAATTCAAAAAAAGACTAAAGACACTTCTGGTGGGCAGTGACATTGTGTTCTGATATATGCGTACTGTGTACTTATTAAATCATGTCCATATTTCACTTTTGAATTGTTAAAACATGTTTCTGACCAATTTGTTTTTATCCTTCTTTGCTGAAAAAAATTATCGTGGGATATTTGTTCGATCCTGTTTTTTATTGTTTCTGAGTTGTATAGAATTTTATAGGTTCTTTTCTCTAATTTTCGTGTTCAAAAATCTATGTACCCCGCACTGCTGTGTTAGAACTGTAAAGGGGACAGAGACCTCGTCAGGCATCACGCCTTTAGTCTCTGTCCACCTCCCGGTCAATCCGGAAAGAAAGAAATAAAGAAAGAACGAAAGCAATAATGACAGACGGGCATGTTTACGGCGGCGTGATAGGTCATGCAACTCAGCTTGATTTTTTAATGCGGTGACACTGGAAACTGGAGAGTAGTCAGAGAAAATGAAACGCGCAGCACGGTTTTGCAGCGACTCGATGTAACTTATAATGTAGGCTTGATCAGGATCCCATATGGCAGAAGCATCATCAATTTTGGGGCGGATTAGAGTGATATATCATATAAGCAAGTTTACGTAAGTGAGCGGGTGCTTGTTTAAGATTGTGCTTTATGAATCCAAGGGAACGGTTACAGAAGCAAGGGTGACATCAATGTGGTAGTGCCAGGACAAATCAGACTGAAAGTGGACACCCAGGTACCTATAGGTAGGGTGACCACCTTCGTGCCGGTGGAATGCGGGACACCCTGACCCAGGGGGGGGGGGGGGGGGGGTAAAAGGGTATTATACACCTGAAAATTGTACGCGGCAATTAAACTAAGATAAGTTTCACTCACAGTGATATACTTTTGTTTATTTGTGATGATAAATATTTTATTAAAAGTATCTAAGTTGAAAACATAAAGATCGACTGCACCAGACCCAAATGCATCAAAAGGAAATAAAAAAATAGTAAATATTTTTCAGCCTATTGTTTCCTGTCGATACTTACTCTTATATGAACATGCTTGAAAACAAAAATAAAACCTTATGTTGTTGTTTTTTACCGTTGTGAGTTGCACGTTTTTTTTTTGCCTTCTGGCCGCCTTTATTAAAAAAAAAAAGCTTTCCACAACAACCGTTTTGCATGATACAGTATAATTTGCAACTAATTACAATAGTTTATTTTTCAGCTTTTGGCGAGCAATTTTCACTTGCAATATTTTTCCATCAAGGCGAGAGGCACAACGGCGCATGTGCGTCAGTCTCCTGCAAGAACGACGGTTGCTTCCCGCAGTGCGTGGCAAGAAAATTACATACCATCGAGATTCACACATTTACCATCGACCTCCACGGTTTCCCGTTGCCCGTTGTTCGGAAGCACCATAATTTGCGCAGTGAATGTTACGACAATGTGAAATGCGGGACATTTTGAAGATTTTGGAATTTCTTGCTGGACGTGGGACACGAGCCCTCAATGCGGGACAGTCCCGCGAGTCGCGGGACGGGTGGTCACCCTATCTATAGGTAGAAGTGAGTTCAACAGTATTGTTATTCAGAAGGTAAGAAGTTGGAGTCTGAGAGGAGCATTTGGTAAACAACATATGTTTTGTTTTGTTGTGGTTGAGGGTCATTAGCCACGAAGAACACCACGTGGTTAACTGGTCCAGCTCTGATTGGAGAGCTTGGCGATCGGTGTTAGAAGAGATGTTACGGTAGATGACGCAGTCGTCAGCAAAAAGGTGGACATGAGATGAAACGCAAGTGGGTAGGTCATTAATGTATATGAGAAAAAGTAATGGACCCAGCACGCTACCCTGGGGAACTCCAGATGTCACTTGGGCAAAAGAGGAGTTAGTTAAGGGAAGTGAAGTGAAGTATATTTGAGAGACAGTCTTTTATCCACGAGAGAAAATTAGAATGAATGTTGAGCTGTGCAAGTTTTAGTAGAAGCCTGTGATGAGGAACGCGGTCAAAAGCCTTTGTGAAGTCGAGAAAAATTGCATCAACTTGTGAACCAGCATCAAGAGATGTATGTAAGTCGTGAACCAAACCGGCAAGTTGGGCGTCACACGAGTAACCCCGGCGAAAACCGTGCTGATATTTGGAAATAATGTTATGGTCCTCTAAATAGTGCATGACTTGAGAATGTATATGATGTGCTCCAGAAGTTTACAAATAGTACTGGTTAGTGAGATAGGTCGATAGTTCAGTGGGGAGGATCGATCACCAGATTTGAAGATGGGAATTACCTAACCTATACGCCAGTATTGAGGAATTAGACCTGTAGAAAATGACTGCGAGAAAATGGCTGTCAAGATGCCTGAAATGCCTTGCGCAGTATTTTTAAGTATCTTGTTATTTATACCAGAGGCAGATGATAATTTAAGCTTATTTAAAAGAGGCCTCTACAATGACTACTTCGGACATAGACATATCATTAAGCCTGATTAACGTGGGAGATGAAGTACTGTCCTCACAAGTAAACACCAATGAAAATGATTCATTAAGGAGGTGAGCACACTCTGACTGTGGAATTGAAACGCCATTGTTATCGATGCGAGACACTTCAGGATGACTACTTGGATTAACTGCATGCCAAAATCGTTGAGGGTTATTTAAGAGTAAAGACGACAAGTCACGATGAAAGAAATGACGGCGGGTGGATTGAAGAAGCGACAGGTAATCACTGTCGCACTTTTTGTAACGGAGCCAAGAAACTGAAAGCTTGTTCTTATCTGCTAGTCTCTACAGGCGCTTTTCTTTGTTATTTAGTCGTCGAAGCTGCTGACTAAACCAAGGCGCACTGTTCTTGCACTTTATATTATAGAAATAAACTTATCAATTAGATTAGCAAACGTATTTTTAAACAAGACCCAATTTTCTTCGAAACTGCGCGACAAAAATTGATGCAGGAACTGTTCTGAGAAAAGAGATAGGTCGGAGTTAAGTCCATCGAAATTGGCTCTGTTGTAACATCTGATTCGCTTATCGGTGGTACTTTTGTTAGGCAAACGAACAATACTACCGGTAATAACATCATGATCAGAAAACCCGTCTAGGTGAAGTATATGGTTCACTTCGTGGGAATCTGGCTTCTGCTATACGCAGTGTCCACACCCGGTGTGGGCAAACGCTGACTTGTTTGTTAAAAAGCCTGTTGGTCTATAAATTTCTTTTCGCGTGCAGACCGTTTTCCTTGGGCGGAGAGAGATGGGAGACTAATATTATATATGGTCTCACCGTGCTTCAACAATAATGTCAGTTTGTCTTAATTGAGCAAGTGGTGTATTATCCACGGTATCATTATTTCGAATGCTCGATTGCTCATCAGCGGGCTTCCTGACGTGTTTTGAAAACTTAAGCTGATAGTATTCGTATGATGTCAATGGTTAGTGCGCTCCTACTTCCGGTGACATCGGTGTGTGCTAAATAGAGCACGAAAGCGTGCGGAAGCGCCGCGTAATCGGAACTAGTCCGGGGGAAAGATTGCCAGACATTTAATATAGAGAATGACACAGCCCTAAAGCCGGAGATCCACTGCTCATACATAGTAAAAAAAAAAAAAGAGTCTGCAAAGATGAGTCACCGCAATATCCGTGGTTCGAACGCCGCGTGCCAAGTTTTCTCCTTAAACTCATTGCCATGCGGCATTTGAAGCAGGGATCTCGCGGTGACTCGCGTTCGAATCTCAGTCTGCAGACTGACTTTTGTGTGACGTGTAAGCAGTGTGACCCCGGCTCAAAAATTGAAACACAGCTGCAATAAAAAAATTTAAAATCGCACAAACAATTGGAGCTTGAAAAGTAGTTCCACGCAATTTCTGCAAAGAAGAAACCACGCGTGGATTTCTATCGTGCACCAATTGCAATTGTGGTTTACCCAAGTTGCCATTTTCGTGCGGTAACAGCTTTTAGTATTCAAAAAAATAACGTAGGACCAAATTTCTGCCTTTGGATCTTTGTCGAAGTTCAGGTGGTGTTTCGCACATATATGTTTCAGCCTTAATTCACCTGCGCCCGTAGAGCCCCATTCACACGGTGCGAATTTGCTTGCGATTTCACAATCGGGACGTTTAGCACCACAGGTTCCATCACAATATTGTTGCCGCTCGAGCGACGCCGACAAGGAAATCGTAAGTAAACTCGCATCTTGTGAATCTGGCTTTCCGGTGTTATATTATTATTTTTTTATCTTTTTAATGGAAGGAGGGGCTCTAGTGGGCGGGGTAAATATTAAACTACAGACTCGAAAGCCCACTGAAACCGAGCTGAGCTGAAAAAATGAGGGGCTGGATATCTTATACCCCTGTCAGACGGGCTAGTTTAGTGTCACTACAAGCGAGTGCGCTTCAACCCGTCGAAGCACACTCCAAGTGTGTTGGTGCTACACGGGAAAACTTAGTGTCACTCCAAAATGATGGCAATAACGATGGGTAAGTAATGGGCACGCAAAATATTACAGTGCATGCGCATTTTTTATAAATAACTTCGTCGTCTTTAGAAACACGTTACCACACATTGTTGCGCTAAGTCACGAGTTTGAATCTAAATTTAAATCCAATTTGATTATTACGATTAGCCATTTCAAGCCAGTGATACATGTCCGCACGCCGGTACGATACTCTGTTTCACCTTAAGATGTACTGCAGAAAAGGCTGCAAGCGCGAGCTCCTTGCTCTAGGGCACATCAAGGCGGCACAAGCTCTCGTGCGTTAAGAGTAGCTCCCAACGCTATGAGCTCGTGCATCTAGCCTTGTCTGCTGTACAACATAAGGTGAAACGGAGTATAGATCGAAACGAGCAGAAGTGGGGATTGAACCCAGGATTCCTGGGTTCTGCAGCGCGAGCTTTGGCTCCGCGTGCTCTGAGCTGGTGTGCGCGAGCCCACTCGGCCACTCGCCACTCGCCACAATAAAACATCAAGGAGTTTGTGAAAAACGAGCTGGAGGGCGATATTCGCTATGTTGGACAGTGGAAGCGCGTGGTTGGGGCACTTTTCTCCGTGAGAGCCCAACGCCTTTCAGATAAGAGGCAGCTGGACCTGGATGCCGACGCACAGGCAAGAATTTCAAGTGACGTCGATCAGCAGTGCAGGCCAATGCCTTCACCATAGCCGCGCTCATGACCGACAACCTACCCATGATTAGTCGAGAACGGTGGACTTTCCAGAAAAACGAACGGTGGTTCGAAGACACCTTGCCCCATTTGGGCGAGTTCCATTTCAAGCAAGCCTTTCGCGTCCCTCCTGCTACCTTCAGATTCCTGGTGGAGTCTTGCAGGTGCCTCCTGGCCGTCGCTGGCCGTCGCGCAGGGACCAAGGCCGAAAACTAGATTAGCCGCTTGTTTTTCTACAATGCACTACTTTCCTGCCTACAGGAAACAAGTGCGCATCTAATATTACTCCTATCAAAATAATACTAATTTTACGCAGCGTTAATTTCTTCTATTATTTTAACTCCTTGAACACTGCTATCGAGATTACAAACTTGGTCTACCGGAGCGAGCGTAGTGTGCTCCCCGAACTCACTTCATTGAAAGTGTGTTCTTCGAGCAGGGCAGGGGATTGAGCTCAGGATCACTGGGTTCTCCTTTTCCAGCGCGAGCTTTCTCTCCACGTACTTCGACCAGGTGGGCGCTAGCCCACTCGGCCACCGATACCCCTTAATAAAAACACGTTAAAAAAATTTGACGTTTACAATTCTCTGTAATGCCGAATTGGAGCGCAGCTCTTGAGGAGGGAGGAAGGGTACGAAGGGGAGGGTATACCAGCTGCTCCCCCTCCGTATCCTCCCATCCTCCTCTCCTGTTCCCATCCCACTTAGCGTAAAAATTTCGCTGAATTTTCCGCTAAATTTAGCCAGGAAAATTTCCCGCTTAATTGACGTGTGACGTCACATGACACGTCATCTGAAATTTTAAGTGTGACGTCACGTGACATCACACGGGTAAAATTTTTCCTCTAAATTTAGCGGAAAAATTTTCCGCCAAACTAGCAAAAACTTTTACCGCAAAATTTAGCGGAAAAATTTCACCCTCGTGACGTCACACGTGACGTCGCGAGTGATGTAATTTTGGGAACAGCCCTTATTGCAACGCGCGGTTACGCCGACGCCGCTCAACTCAGAAACGGGTGCCTAGGAGCTGTGCTCTAAAACAACGTTACATTAATGAACGATTTTTATGCCAATTGGTTGATTTTGATCGATCATCGCAAGTCAAGATAAAGAACGAAGCATATCCAACTTTGGCGTTCCGCTTCGTTCCACGGAGGTCTACGAGGAGGCCCTGACACTGCCTAATCAGATCGTAATTATCGTGTTGTCTCGAATAGTTACATGCTGAAACAAAAGTAGATTCTATCATTCTCTGCTAACCAAGATGGTCATGAATAACAGGCTTTGTCGTCGTCTTTTATCAATTCAACGCTCCGCTAATCTTGATTCAGATCAGCCTAAACTTTAAGTCCACCCCACTATTTTTTTTTTTTTTTTTTTGCAATGCCATTTTTCTACATGTCGTCGCTTTCACGAGTTTCTTTTTGTTTATAAAATAAAACTTACGCCCCGCTTTTGGTTTCTGTGTTGTTATGTTTTACTGTGGAAACACTCATATTGATGCCACGCACGCGATCGAGCGAAGTGAGTTCGTCAAACTCACTCCAAGCCAAGTGTGTTCCTCAGGAAGGAGTCGTGTGGCACACTACAGAAACGACACTAAGGGCGAAGTGCACTCGCTTGTAGTGACACTAAACTAGCCCGTCTGACAGGGGTATTAAAGAAAAATGAAGACTACATCTTGACCAATACAGCCGAGCCCAGATTAAGTTCTTATATGTGCAGGTGTCATTGACGGCATCACCTTCGGCTCGCCCTGTCCCGAGTTCCTGCCTCCGGAGGGAGGCTGCCAGACCCGAAACAACGAGACATGCGAGGATTTGCACTGTACTTCGACATTGCACAAGGTGTGCTGCCTGCAAGCCTGTGGAGATCCCTTTTGCTTTCCGTTCGGGGAGGATTAAAGTCATCGTAGCATCTGACTGGCGGCTCTTCCGGCGAATAAAAACGCACGCGATGCGTGTGCTTTCAAGCTTTGCTGCAGTGTTTCTTCTTGTCGTTACGAGTTGCCTAATCGAAACAATGACAAAGGCAGGACGGTACCTAGCAGTGTTGCGGAGTTGCCACTCCGGAGTTGGAATGATTCCGGAATCATTCCACATTTTCGCGACCCCGGAATGGAATGGGAAGGGAATGGCGGCAGCGTTGAGGGGAATGGAATGGGAATGGAATTAGATGCCTTTTGCCCGGAATGGATTGGGAATGAAATGGGGCCCGGGTCTTTATATTTTTTATTTATTTTATTTATTTATTTATTTATTTTACGTTTAGCTATACCAAGTTAGTCAGCGAGTCAGTTGTTCAGAAATAAAATGAGCGGGAAACTGCAAACCCGCGTGGAGCCCTAACAGACTTATACGCAAAAAAATGCAATACAAGAAGCAAGCGTCAAAGCAAAGAACAAAGGTGGGAGGGAAGAGGGGTGGCGGTGGCGCCTTTCACCAGTGAAGTTCAACACAAATCTGAATGCGTCTGCGCCTGTTGCACGGCTCAAGGGTACGTCATCAGTCGACGTGAACCTGACCCGCTGCCCTGGTGATCCGATACCTAGAAAGGAGGCCAGACGTGGCCTCGCTGTGCCGACCCAGACTTCGTACTCCTGCGACTCGTCTCGAGCGCGCTGTTTCTCGCAATTCGCAGGTCGCAATTCACAGGTCTCTGTTTGGATGACGCTAGCCGAAACATGAGGACTGCCATTCATGCGTTGGAGACGGAAGGTCCGCAGGTAGGACCGTCACTACAGGGATGCCACCGTATCGATTTTTTAACCATAACAGAAGATAAGACATGTGCTCCAGGATGCTTCAGGTGGTCCACCCTATTCTCGAAAATTCCAAATGCAACTGCCTGCATAGTCTTCAACGAGGTCACCTACAACGCAAGTACGTACTGCCCTTTCATACAGCAGCGTGGGTAAAGTTTCATGTTCAAGGGAACACTTACAGATAAAAAAATACTAGGTTATTCCGCCGTTACGTCATGCGATCAGTGTTGACAGCGGCGCCCTTATTGGACAGGGAAGTGATGATGTTTTGATGGAATTTATTTAGAGGTCGAAGTCTTTTCGTATCACTGGTAAGACAGACAAGATGCCAGGGAAGGGACCGCGGTCAATCCTTGATGGAACGTTTTTTGAACCCATTGAAGACTCCTCTTCGTCCGGAACCACTACCTTTAAGGAGAAGCGCCAAGCCTGCGGGAAAGTAATTTCTGAAAAAAAAAAGCAAAAAAACTTCCACTTCAAACTTAACGTTTCAGCTCAGTTGGCGTCTCAACGGAATTTGAAAAATGTATTGCATTATCAGTATTATAATTCTGCCCTCCCTAAAATGTATTCCTGTATTTGATTTTCTAAAGACTTTTTGACTCTTTTTAAAATGTATTTCCGATACGTATCGCGATACATTTTTACAGATATATTCTAGTGTCAGTATTTTAGCTGCTATTTTCTCCTATCCCAGTATTTGTTTTTTCAAACACAATTTTGGCTATTTCTGCCCAACCCTGCAACGCAATGCAGCTGTCTAGTGCCAATTTTTACGTTTAGGAATTAGAGGAATGGAATGGAACGATTCAGCCATTCCAGAAGTGGGAATGGGCCCAGAGTTCCCATTCCTAGGAGTTGAAAGGAATTGAATTATCGAAAACTCTAATTCCCCGGAATGGAATTGTAATGGAATGGGGGTGCCTATTCCGCAACACTGGTACCTAGCTAGGAAAACAAACCGAACTGGCCGGAACAGGTCCTTTCGCGATTTCCGATTATTTCTTTTGATTTCCGTGATTGCATATTGTCGGCGGTTAGCGCCATGGTCGCCGAGCAAAAGCGAAGGAAGTTGCGTTGGTTTTATCTACAGCAAGGTAAACGGCAGCAACGACGTGGCCGCAGGGAAAGCCGTGACTCATAATGACATTACGAATTGTGTGCGCCTTGCATTGTTTCTCATGTTGTGTACAGTTAACAGTTGTCCCCGTAACCCTGTCGTTACTGCGGTATCGGCGTGTGGCCTAGGTCGCTCCGAAGGCAACCCACGCAACCGGATAAACCAGACAATGTACATTTATCCAAGTTATTTAGAATGGCATTAGGACAGTAGGCAGTTTTTCCATCGCTGCTACGAAGGAGGCTCAGCGTCTGCAAGCCGATTTTTTGAAAGTCTTCGATTTGGCTGGAAATTGGCAGACCGTATCAATAACCCTTTGTCAACTGATAGCCAAAATATTTTATAAAACAAATATTTTCGCTAAGTTATTTAAGTATTGATTTACATCGGCCGCGAGGGTTTCAGAAGGTGACTTTCTACTGGCCACAATGAAAAATCCCTTTTTTCCCTACCCTCGTACGTCACCGTCTGGCTGGCGGACGAGGGACCCGGACAGCCGCGAAGTGGCTTTCCGGGCGCCAGCGATCGAGATCATTTGTTCGCAGCTTCAAGGTTACAAGATTCTTTGCAATGGGTAGCAATCTGTGCTCCGCGGTAGATTGTAGGAAGAGTGCCGGGAAAAGCGTCGTTTTTACCCTTGTTTTCGTGGGAGAAACAATATGCGCTCCCCGGCAGCAATGGAGGCCAGCCACGTCAAGCTGTTTTTGCGCGAGATGTGTGCCGAGAGAACTAGTGTCACGTGAAACATTCTCACTTATGCTCGGAATGCTTTATAGCCGCGTACTCCGAGTTGAGTATCCTTCCGCAGCTGGAAGAGCTTCGAGAGCGGCAAACGCAGACTCAAGCCGGCTGTGACCACTGTACGACATCCGTCCAAAGAAGAGCGCAAACAATATCGAGAAAAATAGCGCACATTCTAGCATAGTCGACATTCGTTGGTCACATCTGTTGTTCTCAATTGCATGAGTGATTTTTTTTTCATAAACATTTTATTTGTTTTGGACATCGAATCTAACAGTCTCGGAGTTCTATTCAAGCGGCTGATCTGTCGAAGACGAGAAGTGAAACGTCTAAACAAAGTTCAAGTCTTATTTTAGTCATGAATTTCGACATACTGCTATTCGTGGCCTGTTTTACAGAGGCTTATGGAACAGGTGTTGAGATTCATTAATAGGCAAAAGAGTCTGTGCCTGGTTTGTCAAGTGGTTGGAGTGCAATGTTTTCTCGCAGAAGAGGTGGTGAAAACGTCTTTATTTCATTCTGTTCCGAAGAAATGCTCTATAGGGCTGAAAAGTTTTGTTTTATAAACTGTCAAAATGACAAATGTCGTTGAGGGGAGGCATGCAAATTTACAGCTGCTGGAAATGTGCAAAACCGAAACTTAATTTAAAAAAGAATTACATCGATTTATACGTTTCGTTCACGTGCACTCGTGCCTGTATGAGCGCGTTGCATTCTACTCCGACAGAAAAAAAAAAAAAGAAACATAAAAGAGAAGTATTTTTGCACATTTTTTTAGTAACTTTTGTTAACTTATTTTGAATTAAAGAATTGATGATGCATTTCTGCACTTTATGTACTATTTTATCTTCTAGAAAATATTCTTTATTTGAAGGTAAATCGTGTATTCGTGTATTTTAAACGCCTTTCATTGCACCTTGACGTTTGGCTCGGTGGTTGCGGAGTTCTTATATTTTAGCACGATCTTCAAAAACCAGTAACCAGCCATCTGACCGACACGAATGCGGTTCATTCCATTTCATTGTTTACGGAAATCACAGTCTATTAGCGGCGAGAAGTTTCGGTGGCGCCCTCGTTCGGTTACTTTTCGTGGCGTCATTATCTTGTGAACAACAAGTTCGATGGTGTTTGTAATGGGCATGGTGAAGCCTGAAATCATAGCGCGCTCAAAGCACCACTGCCAACACCGTCAAAATTGAAGTTCTTACAGTCCTCTAATTTCCGTCGATGAGAAATCCTTTGGTGGCGTCATTGTCATTATTTGGGCAATCGTGGCAGGTCGACCACAGCGACGCTTTCGATCCCTATCGTCGCCAATACTTCGTCTCAACTTAGCACGCACTATTATTAGCCGCGCATGCTAAAAGCGTGAGCTGGTTGCTTTGTATAAAGCCTCGGCGGCTGCGCGAGCGCTCGTACAGCGAGCGCTCCAGTCAATGCTGTCAAGGCTAGCCGCTCGCGCTTGCGCACTCTTTGCAGCGAGTTCATGCTAAGGTGAGACGAAGTATATATGTGTTAGTTGAGAGCCCAGCACGTGTATGCTCGCCGCTTGGGAAGGCAAGCGAAGCACGCGCCACACGCACGAACACTGAAGATGGCGCCGACCAGAAGCGCTTTTCTTAAATGGTCTATAGAAATTGCCCTTGCTGAAAATACGCAGAGTCAAACTATCTTCCCAAAAACCCTTCTTTTTCAGCCGAAATTTGCTCCTGCTGACATACGTGCAAACTATCTACCAATAAAACAATCTTTAAACGAAATTTGATCCTGCTGATATTCACCAAGTACAAAACGTCTACAGAAAAAAGCTTTTCGTCAAAATTATTTCCTGATGGCATTCACCAACCACAAACTATATAAATTAAACAAAAAATAGCATTTTTTTTACAATATACCGGCTGCAAGCATGGTAAATACGGTGTTCTCGATATTACTATTCACAAAAAAAAAAAAACTTCTCTCTTTGGACCGCTGAGTTTGGATCATTCACGTCTCTTTATTCGCCTCGAAACGTTCCCTGGAGTACAAAAAGAAAAGCGAGTCAGTCTGGTTTGGGTTGTCAGGTCGGTCATGACAAATCAATGTCTAGGTTCGAGAGGTCCGAAGCTTTGGTCCCATCACTTGACACACCACTTTTCTGACTCTTCAAGCTTTTACAGCAGATTTGTTTTAGAAGCCACTGAGGGCCGGTTGCACCAACGTCGCTTAGCGCAAAGCGGAGCTTAGCCGGGAACTTAAGCTTAGTTTCGGTTTCGTTCGGTTGCACCAAACTCGCTTATCGCTAAACCTAGCACTAAACTACGCTTAACTTAAGCGCTCAACATTGGGCGCTTTGCTTCTGGTTGTTTCTTA